ACATTTAGAATACATCCCTTCTAGAATATGCCTTAATTAAACAAATTGTTTAGTTGCTAAAACCCCACCTTCCCCATGGATTTCCGCCTGACTTACTATCTTTCCACTGGTGCTTGAAAACATAATGCAAACTTTTAAAAAATTTACCAAATGTACTAGTTCGTACTTGTGTCTGTCAAGGCATAGGTTTGTCAATATACTAACATCCCTTACAGAGACTTAATCTCCCCAAAGCAGAGAAGAATTTATTTAAAACAATCCATTAAAGCACCTTCCATGCAGAAGTACTACTGAGTAAATAATATCTAAGGACCAGAATGCCTCTACATAAGTACACTTTTTCTTCCTAAACTGCACTAAATCATGAGTGTTACCTTGGAGAGCAAACGTTAATGACATTATAAATAAAATGATGTTTCCTGTCATCTAAACTCTAAATATCAAAAAGGTAAAATTCTTCTTTGTGTAAAATGACAAGGCTGCTTGTTTTAAAAACATCAAATCCAAAGTAGGTGACTGTTGGTGATTAGCGACATTGCAATTGAGGAAAAAGATTAAATTTTCAAAAATTTAGGACCAATTTGATCATTTAACATATTTTTTTTCCTTTGGTGCATACTTCTCACGTTCTGCCAGAAAATTATGTCCAATCTTTCCCTCAAGACAGTTTAACTCAAAATTTTGACATTTTCCTTCATCTAATTAAGATAAATTTCAACCTCGGCTCTGGGTCCTGTGAGGGCGAAAAAATTACTGAAGAGCATCGTACCTGTGAAAACCTCTTAACATTATCAGATACATTCTCCTTTATAGTCTTTAACTTTTATACTAAATAGATCTTATTTCATCACTGCATTTTCCTCTTTTGTAGGGCTATAAGCAAAATGTTGATTTTATCTTTGTTTTTTATACCTAAAATAATGTATTTCATTTTCCATCCTCAAGATGGCTGAGTCATCAGGACAGAAATTAGAAGTCAGTGAATGCTTCTTAAAGAAAATGGTTTATAATAAACAGGAGAGAGCAGAGCAGTTAATTGAGGGATGGTTTGAGAAGAGGCTATCTTAAAAATTTAGATTATTTTAGGAATCATAATAATACAAGAGTGGATGGAGCTAAGTCATAGAGATCATAAGAGAAGACCAGCAAAGTGGGGCCTATTGGTTGACTCTGAAAACAATATTCCATTTTATTCGATCCAGAAAGGGATTAAAGATCATTGGAAAAATGTCATGAAGGGAGCTGGTCCTGGAAAATAACTTTATCTTAGTCATGTGGATATTTTGATACAGCTTCAAAGTGTGAGAAGAAAACTGGAATTATTGGGTGTGACACAGACAAGGTAAATCAATAATAAAATTAATAATAGGGGCCTAAAGTGTTCAAAGGTTTTTGCTATATTTCAGTGAGGAAAAAAGTAGACTCAAACAACTGCAGACTATGAAATACTTCCAGGCCCTGCAGGTGAACAGATAAGAGCTGAAAAATAATGTATTTTAGAGTTATACACTGAGCAAAAATTAGAAACAGTTATTGGCCTACTTTTCTTCCTATAGCTTTTTCCAGTAACTGCTTTGCTTTTCTTTACTATAAAAAGGTTGACATTTTAAAATTTTGTCAAAACTACAAGAGTACTCAATGCAATTTCCAATTGAAAAAGGTTAGTTTCAAATGCTAAATGATCAGTATTTGATTTTCTCAAAAGATATTTTTATAATATTAATTTTTAAAATTATTTTTGAAGGTCTAGAAGATATTTCCAAATAGGCTGAAGTACTATCAAGATAATCTGGGATATAACTGTGTATTTTACTGATTCATGAGGAATTCATATATTTACTGGAACTAACACTGACACTGGGACACATCAAATTTTTATTGAAAATTCAGTGAGTTTCAGATTTTACAAATAGTGGAGTGGGGGGGGTAAGCAAATAAAAAAATTGCAAGTTTTCCCTTACATCTTTACTAGTAATTAATACATAAATTTAAAATATGTCTCCTCCAAATATATTTTAATAACAAGTAATAGATCAAAATGAATTGCAATGTATAAATGGTCCTTCATAAATAATCTTGAATATGTGCTACCAAAGCTTAATAATCTTGTCAGCCTGTTTTTTTCTTTTTTCCTTCATATCCCTTTCTGCTGACTGAGTTTCTATACCACTTCTATAAATTGTCAAGAAGCATAAATATATGGCCATGCTATTCTTACATGCTTACTGGTTCCTTTTCTGTTTAGTGAAGAGAAAAATACCCTAGAAAGAGCATAAAGCATGTACCTTACTAAATAGAGCGTTAACTACTTATCACTGTGACTAGCTGAAAACATATGCTATCTGCTTTAAATGTTAAAGATGATGAAACTGTCACATTAGGAGCATGCTTTGAAAAACTCCCACAGTGCTGCAGTTGTTCAAAAGTCCTGTTCATTATTTGGTACTGCCTTTAGAACACTATACATTATACAATGCTAAATCAGGTTTAGCCATTCCAAAGCTACATCCTAAATTAGCCGACTTTTAAACATTACTGAATCTGAGGAAAGGGTGAAAAGTATTTTTTATATGTGTTTTGTAAAGTTTATTTGGAGAAAAGGGTAGGCAGGGAAAATTAATTAAGGTAGCAAGAGAAAGTTACAAGTTGAGGAAATGTTCGTTTCATCCAATTATTTTTTTAAATCTTATTTTCTGATAATATCTCAAGTCAAGTTTATACGAAGATTATGGAAATTTCATCAGTAGGCAGTTTGGGACTTGAAGTATACAGATAATGACATCAATTATTCTCTTCCAGTCTAATGTGTACAAAGATACACAAATTCTATTTTGGCTACCTCACTGATCTGTTCAAATAGCTCTAAAATGCATCACCAACAGGTATGAAAATAAGTTATTCAACTTAAAGATAACAATAATTTAAAATCATAGCTAACGATGTTAGCCCAACTTTAAAGAAGCTGCATTTTAGGCTGGAGAGATTTCTGAAGGACTAGTGTACTGGAAAACTAACAACGTATGTCAGAATACGTGCATCATATGTTCCACTTGCTTCAGTGGACCTAAACTGTAGAGAGGGGGGAAACTGCAAGAATGTACTGGGAGGGTGGGAGGTGAAGAAGATGGAGTACGCAGCACTCACTACAAGCATCATGGGAACTTGTAAGAGGTAGTCTCTGAAGGTAATTCGACTCCCATTGAGCCAAGAGAGCTTTTCTTTGAGCATTTCAGTAACAGACTCAAACTAAAGTAATCTTTTAGGCAAATTCAAAGAAAGGGTTTTAATTGAGCATTCTTGCTTCTTGCATATACCCTGGCTCTTTCTTTTATGACTGAGAAATGGAGAAGACAGATGTTTGTCTGTTATCTGACAGTCTAAGGGGAGGAACTGGTGGGAACCTAGGAAAGTAGAATTTCAATAGTAAATATGAGAAGAGAAGAAAAAGAAAAGATGAGCCACTGCAGGACTTTGTCTTAGTCATGGCACCCATGGCACCTTAGCACAATGTATCGCACACGGGGGCAGTCGATAAATAATGAATTCGAGTTAATTCAATACACTCATTTGTACTGTGCTTTGCACTTACAAAGCACTTTCCACATATTAGAAAAGAAAAACGAAGTAAATGAAGAATAAAGGGGCAAGTAACGGAATAAAAGAAAAGCAAATGGATACAGGAAAACCCACAAGAATAAGCAAGAGGCCAAAAAGATTCGGGGGAAAAAAGGAAAAAGAAACTGAGTTTCTCCCTGTCGTTCTCAATCACTTCCTCGACCCCACCTTTCGTTCTGAAGTACCTGAGCTTAGAAACTCTGCCTGCTATGCAAACCCTAAGAAGGGGTTCTCTCATCTTCGGAACGGGCATTTTCACAAATAAGCCTTTGGTGCCTGACTAATCTAGCTAGAGTTTTGTGCCTAGGAATAACCATAAGCAAAGATTTAACATTTCCCAAGTGTGGCCAGGAATCCTTTATTCCATCCCATCCATCCCGTCAGTGTTCCCAAAATCTAAGGAATCTTGGGGATTTGGTGGGGGGAGGCAGTGGCAGTGAGGAGGGGGGGTCCTCTACAGGCCCCTTAACTCAGACAACAGAGGGAGATAGTGAGGCAGGAAAGCCCAGGGACTAGAGAAAAAGCCCACGTTTGCGACTAGGAGGGCGAGTGTCGATAAGTATGGTTACTAGAAATTGCCAGAGAAAAAAAGGGGAGAGCCTTCAAGATGGAAGAAATGAGGGGGCGCTTGAATGCGCATCACCTTGCACCTGGGGTCGAGCCCCCACTAAAAAGCCGTGAGGTCCAAAGCCTCAACTGGCCAACAGAGGAGGAGGCAAAGGACGCGGGGGATGCGCAGGAGGGACCCACGGATACCAGTGCGGATGCTGTCCCAGAGGAAGCATGTTTTCCTCTCCCTCAAAGTAGCGCATCTCTCAAGCATCACCAGCCCAACCCGGGGGAAAGGGGGAGCTCCACGGTTCCAAACCCGGGCGGCCGCGTCCTGACCCCATTATGCGGGCTTAAAAGTTGACCGGAGAGTTAGCGCTGAAAAAGGCACCTAGCAGGGGCGGCTGCCGAAGGGGGGTCAGGTTTCCCGGGAACAAAGGGGCCCGGGAAGAGGCAACCAGCGGAGCAGGTCCCTGGGGGTTCCTCCCTGAGGAGAGAGACAAGGGTCGCCACGTCCTCCAGGCCTGGGGGCGCCGAGGGCAGCCAGGAGCCGGCAAGATGCGCCAGGATTCCGTCCCCCGGCTTCCAGCCTCTTATCGGGTCGCGCCGGCCGCCCCCCGCGCTCTCCGCGCCCCTCTCCGGCGGGGGAGCCACCGGCTGGGGACAATAGGAGACCGGGATCCCGAGGCCCTGCCAGCCCCGGAGGACCCCCGCCACTCCACGATCGGCCAGCAGAAGCCCCGAGGGCGGGCTCGGCCGCGGCAGGCGCCCCTTCCCCGCTGCGCGCCGGGACCCTGCGCCCCGGGCCGCCTCGCCCTGCGCACCGCGGACATTACCTTTCATCCAGTCCACTACTTGACTCGGAGACCATTTGCTCACTGGTTCCATGATCAGAGCCATGGGCACCGGGTCGGTTCCGCGCGGGTCGCGGAGCTCAGACACAAAACGAACTCAGCAGCCCGATCCGCCCTCAGGTGGGGTCCCTAGCGGGCGCTGCCTCGCGGGCGGGCGGCACGGAGAAGGCGGCTTTTGTGTGTCGGGTCCCGCGGTTGCAATGTCTTAGCAAACAGCGGGCAGCGGCGGTGGGAGCGGCGAGCAGCAGGGAAACGCCGCGGGGTCGCGGCTCCGCGCCGGCTCTGCTCGGTCCCCGCTGGGGCGGCGGCGGCTGCTGCTGCTGCTCCGCCGCTCCGCTCGGGTCTCCGTCCCTCCGGGCTTTCAGTTCATGGCTTGTGCTGCCGAGGGTCGCGGCGCCAAGCGAAGGAGCCACCGCAGCACGCCCGCAACCAACTTGCCCGCTCGCCTCGCGCGCGGGAGTGGAGCCCCCAGCACGACAAGCTGCCCGGCGGAAATGACGAGGGGCCTCCTGCCACCCAAAATATCTCTCCGCAGCCCTCGGGTGTGGGGCGCGCGCGCCACGAGCCCCCCGCCCGCTTGCTCGCTGTCGCGCGGTCCCGCCCCCGGGACCGACGGCAGGCGCGCGAGGCGCGTGCGCGCGCCAGCACGAGGCCGGAGCCCGGGGTCTGCGAGTCAGGCAGGCAGGTGCGGACGGCGCGCCGCCTCGAGTTCCCGCCCCGCCGGCCGCCCCGGGACAGAGGCGCGCGAGGAGCGCGTGCGCAGCTGCGGCGGCGGCGGCGCGAGCCCCGGCCTCGGGTCAGTCAGTCAGGTGCTGGCGGCAGGAACGCGGCTCGCAAGGGCTTCCCGGCGGCCGCGGCGGGCCTGGCCGGGCCGCCCACCAGTTGATCGCCGACTGCCGAGGCTGCTGAGGAGGTACCTGCGTCCCGGCCGCCGAGGGGAGGGGGACACCCCGAGCGCGGGCTTCCAGCGGGAGCCCGGGCTGTCCTCGTTGCCGCCCTCCCCGCTGCTGAGTGGGCTCCCGAGGTGATTCCCGAGCCCCGCGCTCGCCGCGGAGACGGAGGCGTGGAACGGCGCGGACCGGCACGGGCGCCGCCAGCAGGAACGCCGCGAGCACGAGGCGGGGGCCGGGCGGTCGGCCGCCCCCGGTGCTGCCCCGGGCCCGACAGTCAGACGCGGGGCCCCGAAGCCGCGGGCGCCGGTCCGGGCGCTCCCGAGGCGGCTTCGGCCCCACGTGCCTCCTCGAGGGCTGTGCGGGGTTTGGTCTCTGCTAGAGGATGGCCTTTTGTTTCCAGCTGTTCTTATGTAAGAGCTGAAGGGGAACCCTGGGATTTAAAATGTGACAAATTGTAAGCAACATGATTCTTCAAAACTCACATTCTGCAGACATCTTAGCCAGGCTACTACGCAACCCGGAGTGAAAGACGGTTTGCCTGATGAGGCTTCGCTTTAAACGACAAATAATCCTCGAAAGTGTAGATGCAAACTCTCTACCACCATTATAGATGATTTCTCTTCGTCATTCCTCAATAGCTCCATTGAGTAAAAAAGAAACTCATTTTATTTCTATAACCATTTCAGTAACGTCAATACGTTCTGCTAGTTCCTGCAGTAACCCGTTTTCTTTAACTCCGTAGAATGAGATGCAGAACTGCCACTCTTCTCAACTGACTTGAGTTGACGTCGGGCCTCCCCTCCCCCCCCCACCACACACACAAGAGCTGACACCGCAGTAGTTGAAATATTTTGATGTTTTCAGGCTAGTGATACAAACCAAGTCAAACTTCAGATGGCCTGTCTGTAGGCTTGTTTATGTTTCTAATAATACAAACTTAAAAATATGTGGGGATTTTTGGAAAGAAACTTAGAAGATAGTGTATGCTCAGAGGATACATGTATAGCACCTTCATTTCATAATCCAGGTCATGGTTGTGATTTACAATTTTCTCTTGGATAACCAGGTGTGAAAAGTATTGTATTTTGGAGTGCTTTCATCATCAATATTTCTAGAAAAGATCATTTCCGGCATCAGACGTTTATAAGAGTAGCTTTATGTTCAGAAACATAATGGAATGGATGCGTTGTGAATCACTAGAGGTTACAGTCATAGGGAGATGTTAAAAGCAATTTTATCAAAATAATGCTGCTAATAATAATAAACATTTGAACACTGTGCTAAGTACTTTACGTACATTTTATCCTCAAAACGGCTCCATCATTAGCCACATTTTACAGATGAGAAAACCTTGGTTAATACATTCACTTCCCATCCCCAGAGCCTATTACACTTAGTTCAACAAATGCTGAATAAATTAATGAATAAGTCTTAAAGAGGTTAAGTAATTTGTCTGAGGTCATGATGCATGATTGTAATAACCAAGTTAAGGTGATTCAAGAATATGAGCTTTTAAAACTAGTAAGAAGGTTTATATCAATGTCACAACATGAACAATACTTTGGAAGGGGAAGATCCATTAAATGTTTACTGAATACGTCTCATCAGAAAGTTACCTACAAAGGAGTCTGAGAGTCACCATGAGTGTTCCTGATCGGTACCTAACCAGCAACTGTGAGAACGTAGGAAGTGGTCAAATTTGGCTGAAACACCAAACTGCATATCCTGACTTGACTTGCATGATAAGCAACCAGACTATACATCATATTGCAAGTAAGTTTAAAGTGAGATATTGTTTGCATAATGAATGGAATATCAATCAAAACAAATGCCAAAGACCAGGATGCAGTAAAAATAAAAGAGAGAATGCATTTCATGAAAAGACCAGTGCCAAAGAAGTTAGAGAAAAAGATCCCGGAGAAAGAATTTTGAGGAAGACCCTACATCAGAATTAAATTGTACATGTTCTCCTCTTATTTTTGTTACAGTAAGGAATTGTTTAAATCTAATCACCTGAGATAACTATAAAAAAATAATTCTAAGAACTAAGAATGAGCCATAATGGGAATGTGGAGTTATACTATCTAAGAGAGTTCACCAAGGCTTTAGATATTTGTCCTAAGTCCTCCTTGAGATTTTCCCTACAAAACAAAAAATCAAAAATTTGCCTTTAGTTTTGGCATTATAATAGGCATTATTTCATTTAATTCGTTCAGAACATAACTAGCTTTTCACTCAAATATTCTTCATTTGAGGAAAAGAAAAATAAAAGAATTAAATCATCATTGCTTTCACTCTTACTCTTCATTCCAGATGACTCGGCTAAATTTTTCCTGCATTTTTTTTTTTTTAAAGATTGGCACCTGAGCTAACAACTGTTGCCAATCTTCTTTTCTTTCTTTTGCTTTTTTCTCCCCAAATCCCCCCAGTACATAGTCGTATATTTTAGTTGTGAGTCCTTCTAGCTGTGGCATGTGGGATGCCGCCTCAACATGGCCTGATGAGCGGTGCCATGTCCGTGCCCAGGATCCGAACTGTGGAAACCCTGGGCCACCGAAGTGGAGTGTGCGAACTTAACCACTCGGCCACGGGGCCAGCCCCATTCCTGAATTTTTCTTCTCACAACTTTTCAAATAAACTAGCTTTTATATTCTTTTGCCTATTCAAAATGTTAATGTCTTGCCCCAATTTTGTAAGTATAGTACTATAATATGATTATATACAATCTTTGGCAGCTTAATTTTGCCTTCTCTTAATGCACAATACAATCTCAAAGATTAGGGGGAAAGGTATGTTGTCATAAAATACATATGAAAACATAATGCACTAAATGAAGTGATGTCACACATACTTCAACAGTCTAGATATAAAACCCAAACTGATTATTTGGGGGCAGACTTGGATTCTTTTTGGAAGCAGGCAGAGGAGAAATATTAATTAATTGGAGACAAAATTTGTGAGATATATGCAACCATATCAAAATAAGTTACTTTAAATCCTTTTAATCCAATTGTTAGTTTTGTCTTTTTTATTCTCCTTCTAGATTTCAATAAAAAATTAAAATCTCTTGACCAAAATATTTTCAGTTTAGATTTTGTAGTATAAGTGAGTCTAAGTACTTCAGATATGGAATTTACAAAGGTCGTCTGACTGGATCTCGGTGCTCAATGGATCTGACGTAGGGAGCCCTCCACTGGAAGAAGGACCTTCAAGTCTTTGTCTCTTTGGAGCCAAAGACAGGAGTAAATAATATGAATGTTTCTTCTGGAGCTACACACTGAGTATCTCTAACCTCTACGTTTTCCAACCTAGGTTATTTTATAAGGGGCCTTAATCTTCAATCTTCTTTTCCCATTTCTTTTGCTATACAAAGCTTGTTCTGCTTCAGACCTCAGACTTGCCATGCAAGACATATTTTAATGTTTTTTAGTTATTTAACATTTAGAAAAAATGTCTTGCAGAGCCCTTTCTGATGATTTTCCCAGTTTGCTTATAGTTTTTGCTATGACTGTTTAATTTTTAGATTTCTTGCTTTTTTAATGAGTAGTATTTTATTATAGATTATTTTTTCTCTTTCATTTTTGAATGATTAGTGAGAAGTGACAACAGAGAGAACAGTCATGATGGTAGTCCATGTCCTAAAATAGAGGAAAGGATAGGAGCCCTCTTTTTTCCACTTAGTTCTGCCCAGACCTTTTCTATAATTTCAAAAGCAGGTGTTCTATAGGTTGTGTATACCTTGATCAGAAAAATTAGCCAGGCAATTCTGATAAGACTAGTAATAATAAAACACAAATTATTCTCAACACCAAAATATTAAACTTGCTCCAGAGAAAGCTCAGCAAAATTTTTGGAACAATATTTTTATTTTCTTGCAGTGTAGTTCAACTAAGAGCTATGAATAAAGAACCAAAGCTTCTGATGTATCCAACCGCCAGATAGCAATCTCAACATGCCTCCAATAGTCAGAGAAGCAAGTAGGAAGAGACCTTTAACTACACATGGGCCTTCACCGTGCTGCCCTGGGCCAAACCTACCTTTAGCTTTTTAGGGAGAAGTACCCAGAGTGCAGAATTAAATTAGTAGAATTCTTTCTTTGCTGTTCTGCCTCTAGGGTAAACTATATTAAATCAAGTCACGTCGTTTCCAGACCAAGATTCTCAGCAGTCATCTCCGAGTGAAGAGAAATTGGCTCTAGTTGAGGTTATCCAATAGGTTTTTTTTAGGGCTCTTTCCAGGTAGTCCCTGCTGTATTAATCACAGTCTAATAAAAATCTCCGAGCCCACCTAGATTAGGAAACATAGTTTTCTTAACACATTAAGCCCTAGCCCATCAGGGAAGTTTCTGGTGCACTTAGCAGCCATTAATGAATAGCAGCATATAAACTTATTCAACAAACATTTTTTGAACCCTACCAATGTGCTGGCCCAAGTTGTATTCTTTGATCAGAAAAATTATTTGATTTTGTGAATGCAAAGATGACCAAAATGCTCGTAGACTGGTAGGGGAAACAGAAACATTCACACTTAGTTTAATAAGGTAATGTGGTATGTGCAATGACAGATGTGCCTAGTACTATGCACAGAGGAGTACTTAACAACTGGGGAAAAGACCATGTGGAGGGAATAATACCTATTCTAGGTCTTTTTTTTTTTTTTTTAGGAAGATTAGACCTGAGCTAACATCTATGCCAATCTTCCTCTATTTTATGTGGGATGCCACCACAGCATGGCTTGACAAGCAGTGCTAGGTCTGCACCTAGGATCTGAA